GGGATTCACTCCTTGGGATTTATACTCTTCCCGCTCTACGATTAATCCCCCAGGGATTTATCCTTCTGCGAATACCCCTTAACTCCCTGAATCACTTGTAGAACCCTGTATAGAGATTTTAGCTATGCTGTCTTTTGTTTGCTTGTGTTTGTATATCTTCACTCCAATACTTTGTGTAATTAAAGGTTTAATGTTGATATATGTATGAAGTAATTATTTTGTCCTTGCCATACAAAATCCTGAAGTGTATGAAGTGAAATTTCAATGTTTCAGATTGGCTATATCCCATGACACTTGTGGTGCACTTGCAGGGCCCTCGACACCTGTGGTGCACCTTGCAGGGCCCTCGACACCTGTGGTGCACCTTGCAGGGCCCTCGACACCTGTGGTGCATCTTGCAGGGCCCTCGACACCTGTGGTGCACCTTGCAGGGCCTTCGACACCTGTGGTGCACTTGCAGGGCCCTCGACACCTGTGGTGCACCTTGCAGGGCCCTCGACACCTGTGGTGCACCTTGCAGGGCCCTCGAAACCTGTGGTGCACTTGCAGGGCCCTCGACACCTGTGGTGCATCTTGCAGGCCCTCGACACCTGTAGTGCACTTGCAGGGCCCTCGACACCTGTGGTGCATCTTGCAGGGCCCTCGACACCTGTAGTGCACCACGCAGGGACTCCTCGACACCTGTGGTGCACCTTGCAGGGACTCCTCGACACCTGTAGTGCACCATGCAGGGGACTCCTGACACCTGGGTGCACCATGCAGGGGACTCCTCGACACCTGTAGTGCACCGTGCAGGGGACTCCTCGACACCTGTAGTGCACCATGCAGGGACTCCTCGACACCTGTAGTGCACCATGCAGGGGACTCCTCGACACCTGTAGTGCACCGTGCAGGGGACTCCTCGACACCTGTAGTGCACCATGCAGGGGACTCCTCGACACCTGTAGTGCACCGTGCAGGGGACTCCTCTACACCTGTAGTGCACCATGCAGGGACTCCTCGACACCTGTAGTGCACCGTGCAGGGGACTCCTCGACACCTGTAGTGCACCATGCAGGGGACTCCTCGACACCTGTAGTGCACCATGCAGGGACTCCTCGACACCTGTAGTGCACCGTGCAGGGGACTCCTCGACACCTGTAGTGCACCGTGCAGGGGACTCCTCGACACCTGTAGTGCACCGTGCAGGGGACTCCTCGACACCTGTAGTGCACCATGCAGGGACTCCTCGACACCTGTAGTGCACCATTCAGGACTCCTCGACACCTGTAGTGCACCATGCAAAGACTCCTCGACACCTGTAGTGCACCATTCAGGACTCCTCTTCACCTGTAGTGCACATTCAGGACTCCTCGACACCTGTAGTGCACCATGCAAAGACTCCTCGACACCTGTAGTGCACCATGCAGGGACTCCTCGACACCTGTACTGCACCGTGCAGGGATTCCTCGACACCTGTAGTGCACCGTGCAGGGGACTCCTCGACACCTGTAGTGCACCATGCAGGGACTCCTCTACAGTGCACCATGCAAAGACTCCTCGACACCTGTAGTGCACCATGCAGGGGACTCCTCGACACCTGTAGTGCACCGTGCAGGGGACTCCTCGACACCTGTAGTGCACCGTGCAGGGGACTCCTCGACACCTGTAGTGCACCGTGCAGGGGACTCCTCGACACCTGAAGTGCACCGTGCAGGGGACTCCTCGACACCTGTAGTGCACCGTGCAGGGACTCCTCACCTGTAGTGCACCATGCAAAGACTCCTCGACACCTGTAGTGCACCATGCAGGGGACTCCTCGACACCTGTAGTGCACCATGCAGGGACTCCTCGACACCTGTAGTGCACCATGCAGGGACTCCTCGACACCTGTAGTGCACCATGCAGGGACTCCTCGACACCTGTAGTGCACCATGCAGGGACTCCTCGACACCTGTAGTGCTCCATGCAGGGGACTCCTGACACCTGTGCTTCCCTACCATGCAGGGGACTCCTCGACACCTGTAGTGCACCATGCAGGGACTCCTCGACACCTGTAGTGCACCATACAGGGATCCCTCGACACCTGTGAGAATGACACCTGTGCTTCCCTAATGAAGTTTACCATTAAGTGTTCCAGAATATTGACCCACGAAACACATTGCATTCAACATTAAAAAATTTGATTTCTAGCTCATTTGCATCAGCTTAGTTGATCAACAAATTAAAAACTTGCGAACTTTTTTCAAGATTTCAGTGAATCTTATACAAAATAATAATACAAAATAATACAAACTCCAAAATATACAAAGATAATACAAGATTATAATGGAATATTAAGAGCAAGAGTGTCATTTTGTCTCCCCCAATTTCGTCTTGAGAGCATCATTATGAGCGAGTGAGAGGCAGGAGGCAGACATTGTTCTTGTAGACCGGCGGAAGAAGGATGGGCTTAGGGATGGAGAGAGAGGATTGGTGGAGCGCACCTCCGAGTCTGGTACCTTTTGTCTCTCTTCATCCCTCACCGCTGCCTTCTCCCGTGAAGGTCTTCCTGGTTGGTGGTGTATGGTACTAGTGGTGGGAGCCCCTCTCTCTGTCTCTGTCTCTCTGTCTCTCTGTCTCTCTGTATCTCTCTCTCTCTCTCTCTCTCTCTCTCTCTCTCTCTCTCTCTCTCTCTCTCTCTCTCTCTCTCTCTCTCTCTCTCTCTCTCTCTCTCTCTCTCTCTCTCTCTCTCTCTCTCTCTCTCTCTCTCTCTCTCTCTCTCTCTCTCTCTCACTCTCCGACTCACACACACACTCTCAACTTTTCTATCTGACTCTTTCTATCTCTCTGTTTCTTTCTCTCTCTGTGTCTTTCTCTTTTTCTTAAAACATTTAACACTTTCGGGAAAACAATGGAGGATTTCACACTTCTCTCTATAACAATTTAACTAGCGTGAAATATTAGCAGGAGCCAGGGAGCCGGTCGGCCGAGCGGACAGCACGCTGGACTTGTGATCCTGTGGTCCTGGGTTCGATCCCAGGCGCCGGCGAGAAACAATGGGCAGAGTTCCTTTCACCCTATGCCCCTGTTACCTAGCAGTAAAATAGGTACCTGGGTGTTAGTCAGCTGTCACGGGCTGCTTCCTGGGGGTGGTGGCCTGGTCGAGGACCGGGCCGCGGGGACACTAAAAGCCCCGAAATCATCTCAAGATAACCTCAAGATAACCATCAAGACGTGCACCAGTGAAGTTGTCTCCTCCTTACACAACCGACAGATACAATCGACAGTTTACTGCACGTGGAAAAAAAAATAGACTTAAATATTCTGATGAAGAACTTTCCAAGACATCAAACGATGCAACCTGGAGAAGAGTCTTGTCTCTGCCTTTACCAGCTCACCTGGAGACTCTCAGCTCCAACACTCTCACCTGGAGACTCTCAGCTCCAACACTCTCACCTGGAGACTCTCAGCTCCAACACTCTCACCTGGAGACTCTCAGCTCCAACACTCTCACCTGGAGACTCTCAGCTCCAACACTCTCACCTGGAGCATCTCAGCTCCAACACTCTCACCTGGAGACTCTCAGCTCCAACACTCTCACCTGGAGACTCTCAGCTCCAACACTCTCACCTGGAGACTCTCAGCTCCAACACTCTCACCTGGAGACTCTCAGCTCCAACACTCTCACCTGGAGACTCTCAGCTCCAACACTCTCACCTGGAGACTCTCAGCTCCAACACTCTCACCTGGAGACTCTCAGCTCCAACACTCTCACCTGGAGACTCTCAGCTCCAACACTCTCACCTGGAGACTCTCAGCTCCAACACTCTCACCTGGAGACTCTCAGCTCCAACACTCTCACCTGGAGACTCTCAGCTCCAACACTCTCACCTGGAGACTCTCAGCTCCAACCACTCTCACCTGGAGACTCTCAGCTCCAACACTCTCACCTGGAGACTCTCAGCTCCAACACTCTCACCTGGAGACTCTCAGCTCCAACACTCTCACCTGGAGACTCTCAGCTCCAACACTCTCACCTGGAGACTCTCAGCTCCAACACTCTCACCTGGAGACTCTCAGCTCCACACTCTCACCTGGAGACTCTCAGCTCCAACACTCTCACCTGGAGACTCTCAGCTCCAACACTCTCACCTGGAGACTCTCAGCTCCAACACTCTCACCTGGAGACTCTCAGCTCCAACACTCTCACCTGGAGACTGTCAGCTCCAACACTCTCACCTGGAGACTCTCAGCTCCAACACTCTCACCTGGAGACTCTCAGCTCCAACACTCTCACCTGGAGACTCTCAGCTCCAACAATCTCACCTGGAGACTGTCAGCTCCAACACTCTCACCTGGAGACTGTCAGCTCCAACACTCTCACCTGGAGACTGTCAGCTCCAACAATCTCACCTGGAGACTCTCAGCTCCAACACTCTCACCTGGAGACTCTCAGCTCCAACACTCTCACCTGGAGACTCTCAGCTCCAACAATCTCAACATATATTGAAGAAAACATCTGTTTGAGAGGGACTGGTGATGAATGAACACCAAAGGTCCAAAAGAGTCTTGATGTTTGTTCATTTCGTCACCTGTGTAAACCATCTCATTAACCTGATGAACCACGACGACAACCTGGTGAACCACAACGACAACCTGGTGAACCACGACGATATCCTGGTGAACCACAACGACAACCTGGTGAACCACGACGACAACCTGGTGAACCACGACGATAACCTGGTGAACCACGACGACAACCTGGTGAACCACAACGACAACCTGGTGAACCACGACGACAACCTGGGTGAACCACAACGACAACCTGGTGAACCACGACGACAACCTGGTGAACCACGACGATAACCTGGTGAACCACGACGACAACCTGGTGAAACCACAACGACAACCTGGTGAACCACGACGACAACCTGGTGAACCACGACGACAACCTGGTGAACCACGACGACAACCTGGTGAACCACAACGACAACCTGGTGAACCACAACGACAACCTGGTGAACCACAACGACAACCTGATGAACCACAACGACAACCTGATGAACCACAACGACAACCTGGTGAACCACAACGACAACCTGATGAACCACAACGACAACCTGGTGAACCACAACGACAACCTGGTGAACCACAACGACAACCTGGTGAACCACAACGACAACCTGCTGAACCACAACGACAACCTGGTGAACCACAACGACAACCTGATGAACCACAACGACAACCTGGTGAACCACAACGACAACCTGCTGAACCACGACGACAACCTGGTAAACCACAACGACAACCTGATGAACCACAACGACAACCTGATGAACCACAACGACAACCTGGTGAACCACAACGAAAACCTGATGAACCACAACGACAACCTGGTGAACCACAACGACAACCTGGTGAACCACAACGACAACCTGGTGAACCACAACGACAACCTGGTGAACCACAACGACAACCTGGTGAACCACAACGACAACCTGGTGAACCACAACGACAACCTGCTGAACCACAACGACAACCTGGTGAACCACAACGACAACCTGGTGAACCACGACGACAACCTGGTGAACCACAACGACAACCTGCTGAACCACGACGACAACCTGGTGAACCACAACGACAACCTGGTGAACCACGACGACAACCTGGTGAACCACAACGACAACCTGCTGAACCACAACGACAACCTGGTGAACCACAACGACAACCTGATGAACCACAACGACAACCTGATGAACCACAACGACAACCTGGTGAACCACAACGACAACCTGATGAACCACAACGACAACCTGATGAACCACAACGACAACCTGGTGAACCACAACGACAACCTGATGAACCACAACGACAACCTGGTGAACCACAACGACAACCTGGTGAACCACAACGACAACCTGGTGAACCACAGCAACAACCTGGTGAACCACAACGACAACCTGGTGAACCACGACGACAACCTGGTGAACCACAACGACAACCTGCTGAACCACAACGACAACCTGATGATCCACAACGACAACCTGGTGAACCACAACGACAACCTGGTGAACCACTACGACAACCTGGTGAACCACGACGACAACCTGGTGAACCACAACGACAACCTGATGAACCACAACGACAACCTGGTGAACCACAACGACAACCTGCTGAACCACACCGAAACCTGGTGAACCACAACGACAACCGATGAACCACAACGACAACCGATGAACCACAACGACAACCTGGTGAACCACAACGACAACCTGATGAACCACAACGACAACCTGGTGAACCACAACGACAACCTGGTGAACCACAACGACAACCTGGTGAACCACAACGACAACCTGGTGAACCACAACGACAACCTGGTGAACCACAACGACAACCTGGTGAACCACAACGACAACCTGGTGAACCACAACGACAACCTGGTGAACCACGACGACAACCTGATGAACCACAACGACAAACCTGCTGAACCACGACGACAACCTGGTGAACCACAACGACAACCTGGTGAACCACGACGACAACCTGGTGAACCACAACGACAACCTGCTGAACCACAACGACAACCTGGTGAACCACAACGACAACCTGATGAACCACAACGACAACCTGGTGACCACAACGACAACCTGATGAACCACAACGACAACCTGATGAACCACAACGACAACCTGGTGAACCACAACGACAACCTGATGAACCACAACGACAACCTGATGAAACCACAACGACAACCTGGTGAACCACAACGACAACCTGGTGAACCACAACGACAACCTGGTGAACCACAGCAACAACCTGGTGAACCACAACGACAACCTGGTGAAACACGACGACAACCTGGTGAACCACAACGACAACCTGATGAACCACAACGACACAACCTGATGAACCACAACGACAACCTGATGAACCACAACGACAACTGGTGAACCACAACGACAACCTGGTGAACCACAAACGACAACCTGGTGACCACGACGACAACCTGGTGAACCACAACGACCAACCTGGTGAACCACAACGACAACCTGGTGAAACCACAACGACAAACCTGGTGAACCACAACGACAACCTGGTGAACCACAACGACAACCTGGTGAACCACAACGACAACCTGCGTGAAACCACAACGACAACCTGGTGAACCACAACGACACAGTCGACAGATCAAACGCCTATAAAAGATTAATTACAACACATTCTCTTCAAATACCAACAGGCAGCTGAGTAATCCTATTGGCTAAGCCAGCCTATTCAGCTCCCAACCTTGGCTATCATTAACATATCACCTTATCCTTGTTTTTTATATATATATATATATATATATATATATATATATATATATATATATTATATATATATATATAATATATATATAGATATATATATATATGTCGTACCTAATAGCCAGAACGCACTTCTCAGCCTACTATTCAAGGCCCGATTTGCCTAATAAGCCAAGTTTTCATGAATTAATGTTTTTTTTTTTTTTTCGTCTACCTAACCTACCTAACCTAACCTAACCTAGCTTTTTTTTTGGCTACCTAACCTAACCTTACCTATAAATATAGGTTAGGTTAGGTTAGGTAGGGTTGGTTAGGTTCGGTCATATATCTACGTTAATTTTAACTCCAATAAAAAAAAAATTGACCTCATACATAGAGAAAAAGGGTTGCTTTATCATTTCATAAGAAAAAAATTATAGTAAATATATTAATTCAGGAAAACTAGGCTTATTAGGCAAATCGGGCCTTGAATAGTAGGCTGAGAAGTGAGTTCTGGCTACTAGGTACGCACACTATATATATATATAATATATATTATATATAATATATATATATATATATATATATATATATAATATATAGTATATATATAATATATATATATTATCGAGCTATAATACATCCACTTTCTCTCGACCTCCAAAACTGTTGACTCCTCAGAACAAAACCAGTCTCTTGACATCAGGCGTAATTGTAAAAAGAGTTTCGGTGAGTTAAATTGTCAGTTTCCTCCCCAATTACAGGATAATATAAGATATAAAGAAAAGATTCGTGCTCCTTCTTTTCTTTAATATTCATCAACATATATCTACAAGAAAGAAGACTGCTGAAAGATGATATATATTATATAATACAGGACAGGACTGACAAGATCGATGCTCATGATGCTCTCCTCCTTCTCACAAGATGCCTAACTCTCCCTAAGTTGTCTTACTTTCTGAGGTGTTCTCAGAAAGTGCTGCTGTATTCTATTAACTTAGTGCTGCTGTATTCTATTAACTTAGTGCTGCTGTATTCTATTAACTTAGTGCTGCTGTATTCTACAGCAGCACTAAAGGAAATGAGTGTGATACCCTTCAAAGGTCCATGCTGGAAACCTGGACCTGAATCGTCCATTGGACGACTCTCAATGGGAACAAGCATCCTTCTCTGTAAAATTTGGTGGCCTTCATGTCCGCACAGTCGGTATTGTACCTTTACAATATGTAATACATCTGTTATACAATGGATGTACCTATAACTTGAGCTTGTAAAAGCAACTTAATCACCTTCAGTGGTTAAGTGTTTAATATCACACAAGTTTCAATAGAAGCTATCTTACTCTGAAAAAGTAGGAGAGACATAGGTGTATGTATATATATATATATGTGGATATGTGTAGGAATATGTGTATATATGTATATATGTGTGTGTATTTGTATACAGGGTATGTGGAAGCTGGTGAAAATTGCATTTCTCTTTTGTAAACGCACATTAATGACACAATGTAAAATGACACCTCGAACATTGTTTATATCGGACGAACGTAAATCTGTGTATTTATGTTTGTAGATTAGTTTAGCATTTTAAAAGCACTACAATGAACTTCTGTAGTTGATTGTTCAATAAATCACTGAATTATATGTTTAACAGATCTCTAACCCTGTCCATAGACCACAAAAGAAAATGTATATATGCAGACGAGGAGTCACAATAACGTGGCTGAAGTTGGTTGACCAAACCACACACTAGAAAGTGAAGGGACGACGACGTTTCGGTCCGTCCTGGACCATTCACAATCGACTCGAGAATGGTCCAGGACGGACCGAAACGTCGTCGTCTCTTCACTTCCTAGTGTGTGCTTTGGTCAACAAAATGTATGTATGCTAGTTAGCACTGTAAAATATGTAGCCA